CAAGTAAATGTGACTATACATCGGTACACCCACAGACCTAGCCCACTCAAGGTACAGGTAAACGTGACAATACATCGGTACACGCACATACCTAGCCCACTCAAGGTACAAGTAAACGTGACTTTACATCGGTACACCCACGCACCTAGCCCACTCAAGGTACAAGTAAACGTGACTATACATCGGTATACCCACAAACCTATCCCACTCAAGGTACAAGTAAACGTGACTATACATCGGTACACTCACAAATCTAACCCACACAAGGTAGTAGTTATCAGGACTATACATCGGTATACCCACGCACCTATCCCACTCAAGGTACTAGTAAACGAGACTATACATCGGTAGGAAGACAACCCACAGTACCATCACGCATGACGATACAAAGATCGTAAATGCGTGCCAGCAGAAGGTCAACCGCCAGATTGAGACCACCAAAGTTATAGCTACTATTCTATTTTTACCAGGAAGAAGCCAACCCATATCAACACACACACACTGAGTATTCGCAATGTGTATGTGTACCTAAAAGGGACGTGGCGCTACTCGGTGTGCCCTGTTGATCTGTAGTCGACTATATGCACACATACATAAATACATACATACATACATACCTCCATACATACATGCAAAATACATGTTGCATGCATAATGTATATATACTTCTGTCCTATGTGGCTTGTAAGCGGTTCTGGCACCGGGATTGGATTCGCACAAGGGAATGTTCTTGTATGAGCTTGACTCTAGAACGTTTGCTTTGTCGATCTCGCCTGCATACAGTAGCTCCTAGTACAGAAAATCCAGGGCTGTTGTAGTTCATCCTCAGCACTTCTGTTTTGATCCGATGCTGCATGGCTATCTGCTTCATCCCACGAGCAGTCCTATAGAGTATGGCCAGCTAACAGCCACCAAAGGCTATACATGCATGGACGTCTCCGGGTCCACTGTATATACCATGGTGATAGTGGAGTTACTGTGTTAGATAATTATAGTGTAGACATGTCCGCTCCGCTACACCCGTCGCTACGGTACGTAGGAACGCTTGGAACGAGCGGTACCAGACTGTTTGTGGACTACTTCTGAGCGTATAGCTGCACACCACCTCTATTAACTCTGTTTCCAGCCATGTGTGAGTGGTGTGATTGCATGCAAGGTCCCACAGTGTGGTCGAGACTCCATGTCAAACCACAGCTTAACCCCACATCTGCATTTGCCCCCGACACAAGAGTCTGACTTACACCTCCACCTATGACTCGCGCAGTTAGTGATACCTACACTATTGCTACCTCTACAGATGTCCACTCTCTATGACACGCACAGTTAATGATACCTACACTATTGTTACCTCTGCAGCTGGCCCGCACCTGTCACACCAGCACCGGGCACGTGCGTGCTGTTCTCCTCAGGCGATGAAACCATGCACTGTGTCACACCAGTCAAACGGGGCACCAGATACTCCATGCTGTTCTGGCTCAGGTGAGGCGAATTTAGGTGAAGTAGTAGGATCAGTATATTGTGGCTCAGATGAGGCGAGGTTAGGTGAAGTAGTAGGATCAGTACATTGTGGCTCAGGTGAGGCGAGGTTAGGTGGAGTGGTAGGATCAGTATATTGTGGCTTAGGTGAGGCGAGGCTAGGTGAAATAGTAGGATCAGTATATTGTGGCTCAGATGAGGCGAGGTTAGGTGAAGTAGTAGGATCAGTATATTGTGGCTCAGGTGAGACGAGGTTAGGTGAAGTAGTAGGATCAGTATATTGTGGCTCAGATGAGGCGAGGTTAGGTGAAGTAGTAGGATCAGTATATTGTGGATCAGGTGAGGCGAGGTTAGGTGGAGTAGTAGGATCAGTATATTGTGGCTCAGATGAGATCAGGTGAGGTGGTTGGATCGGTATCGCACGTATTGCGTACACAAAGCACAGGCACAGGCACACGGTGGTCCCAGCTTATGGTGGCTGGGGCATGTCAATGGGTGCCATCTCAGTCAACACGGGCCGTGCACGGGAGAGACGGAACACGTGTACTACATATCAGGTGTCATCACTTGCACATCCCACACTTAGCAGTCCCTTCCCGCGCTGTCCTGGAGAGGCGGGACTGGACTGTCAGGTGCAGGTGCTTGGACATAGATCTCATCTGTATGAATACCGATCATCCTGGTGTTTTTGTGTTTCTGCTGGCACGTGCACGAGCTTGGCATAGATCTTATCTGTATGAGTTCCAAACATCGTGGTGTGTTATGTTTCTGCGCTGTGGAGTGCACATCACTGTCTGTGACGTGGACGGTTACCCGCCAATGCTCAACTGACCAACGTAGAATGGATAGGCTATCTCAATGATTGCCTATTATATTTGTCTTGCTTTCGATTGGCTATTATTTTTTTATCTTGCTTTTGATTGGATTTCGCACCCATATTTATTGAAGTATCCGTCTTTTACTTTTACCCAGATATATCTCGCGGAGCCCATACATGATACACGTACAGAGCAGTCGCTGCGATTTTAGATACATTATTCTCTGAGTACGCACACAACACCGTCATGTCCGATAGTGAAAAAGTTATTGTATCACCTCAGGGATACGTAAACTACACCATCATGTCCGATAGTGAAAAAGTTATAGTATCACCTCAGGATACGTAAACTACACCATCATGTCCGATAGTGAAAAATTTATAGTATCACCTCAGGGATACGTAAACTACTCCATCATGTCCGATAGTGAAAAGGTTATAGTATCACTTCAGGGATACATAAACTGCACCATCATGTCCGATAGTAAAAAAGTTACAGTATCACCTCAGGAATACGTAAACTACACCGTCATGCCCGATAGTGAAAAATTTATAGTATCACCTCAGGGATACGTAAACAACACCGATATATCGGCACTCTATTTATTTCCTGAGAATGCATTTAGTACGGTTTATCAGTCGGCGCAGATTACACTAGTCAGCTTGTTGTTAATCCCTTGAGACATATACAGCACCAAAATAACTGCTCTATTCGTATCTCAAGAATGTATTCATCGGTGTGAAGACTCAGCTCTAGTCAGCTCGCTATCAGTCCCTAGACTATACATCACCGCTCTGCCGGCGCTCTATTCATTTCCTGAGTATGTATTTACTGCTGAACGATCAGCGGGTGGAAACTAGCTCTAGTCAGCTCGTTATTAATCCCTTGTACCTCTCCACAGCACCGATCGGTCGGCTGGGGAGGACGCAGTGGTCCTCAGCATCATGAAGAAGTTACGTGCACCGGTACAGATGTACTTTGACGAACGCGTGTTCGGAATGGGACCACAAGTATGTGTGGTGTACTACAGGGAACAATCTGTGGTCTCTGGGGGCACAACTTGTACTACATGCGTATATGCGTGACAATATCAGTTATAACTTCTATATCACTTAATATCAGTTCTATTTATATCATCCATATTCCCAGTATCAGTTCAATCTCATTCAATATCAGTTCAATATATATCAGCCCATGTCAGTTCTACAACAACCAATTACAGTTCCATATCAACTAATATCAGTTTTTTATCGTCTTATGTCAGTTCTATCGTCTCAGTGTGCCTCACATGGTCTCTCTATGTATGTCGGGTGCGTATCGAGTCGTTTACGTTCTCGCTGTTGCATGTCCATAGTCGTGCGCGAACTTGTCTGTACAGTACATCTAGTAGCCAATTTCACTCCGTTTCCCCGTCTTGCTAATTATATAGGCATGCCAAAACAACGTACCACTCATTCGGCTGCTCATAGGGACAATATTATTTATTTCAATTCGGGTATAGGGATACTAGTATCTAATTCGCTTCTCAGAGTGTATTTATCCTATCGCGCATCCAGTAGCCGCTCCTCGAGACCCGGTTGTAGTTATATTTCCCGTGCCGTGAAACTTGCTTCATCAGCCGTACACCGATACAATCACCAACAAAGTCGGACTATATGGGAGTCTCACTTCTCACAAACTACGCACTGTGACAGCCATTCGTAATTCATATTTATTAGTCCACTTACGCAGACACGGTAGCTGAGATAATTATGCATTTAGTTGTTCTTAAACCTACTTGTACTTAAACCTGTCTGTTCTTAAACCTACCTGAACTTATACCTACTTGTCCTTAAAACCTACCTGCTCTTAAACCTACTTGTTCTTAAAATCTACTTATTGTTAAACCTACTGGTTGTTGAACCTACATGTTCCTAAACCTACTTGTTCCTAAACCTACCTGTTCTTAAACCTGCTTATTCTTAAACCTGCTTGTTCTTAAACCTACCTGTTCTTAAACTTACCTGTTCTTAAATCTACCTGCTCTTAAAACCTACTTGTTCTTAAAATCCACTTGTTGTCAAACCTACATATTGTTGAACCTACTTGTTCTTAAATCTACGTGTTCTATAACCTACTTATTCTTAAACCTACCTGTTATTAAACCTACCTGTTCTCAAACCTACCTGTTCTTAAACTTACCTGTTCTTAAATCTAGCTTCTCTTAAACCTACCCGATCTTTAACCTACCTGCTCTCAAAGCCACCTGCTCTTAAATGTACCCGTTCTCAAACCTGCTTGTGCGGTCCAGGCCACTTGGGACTACACACGGGATCCACATCTCGTGCACAACTCATTGGCCGCTGTCGGACTGACCGTGTGTGGCGATGACGTGTGCTCGATTGGGTCTAACAATATGGAGGTGAGTGTCGTATAGTTGCAGGTCCATATATATTTATATATATATATATATATATATTTATTTATTTATGTACGATGTCCCGAAACCGGGGCTATATGGCTCACGGTCGCATGTGTATGGCAGGAGAGAGACTATCACGCGTGAACAGTGATTATTGTGGTGTCACTCATGTTATTCTCAATGCATTGCCCTCCTGCTTCATCGGCCCTATCCGGCGCGACAAGTGATAGGAAGTATCTGCATGCCATTGTGGAGTGAAGAGTCTCAGCATGTTGTCATGGCGACGGGTGCGATAGTTCGTGGCTGTATCATTCCGAGATACCTGCCCTTTAGCACTGCATAATGGTCCCGTTAAGACGAATATATTATTTTTGTTCATGTTGATGTCACGTCAATGATTAGTTTGGTCTATACATTCCCGTTGGTAGGTATTCACCTGGTCAGTACTCTCTACTGAATCCGAACATACGTTCCGTTACAAATAAGGTGTAGTATGATTCAATTTTAATCACATGCACATATCTTTTACACATACGCACATACACACGCACACAAATACACACACACACACACACACACACACACATATATATA